ACTGTTTCCTCACAGACCCTACCCATTATTTCACCGTAAATTCAGACGGTATGTAAATCGTATTGTAATAAAATGTGTGTGTTTTTATGAACATGTTTGTTTCTTCATTGTAAGTATCGTTCAAATCAATGACCCATTTTTCCCCAAAAATAAGTATTATTTTCCCGAGCTCGGCGTGGTGAACAAATATTTTTTTTGGATAATTTTTTGTTGTTTGCAAGATGGTTACAGTGTTTAACCTCAAAACAAAATCATTTTTTCTGAGTTGGTCCTCGAGTACAAGCTCATCCCTTACTTTTCCTTTACGTGTTCATGCCTCCGGGCTTATGATCAAGGAAGTACGGTATACTGTGACGATTCAGATCAGTCCAGTGTGAGTGATGAGAGTATATCGTCGACGATGCCCCTTGTTCGGATGAAAGTTTTATTTCAAATTACACGGAAGTCTGTGAACAATCTGCTTGGTGTTCCTGTGACACTTGTCCCATGATTTGCCAGTGCAGCCCCGTGAATACATGGATGAAAATGTTTCCACCACCACCCTACGAACTCAAGAATGCACAGTGCAGTACTGGAAACAGCATTTATTAGACAGTTAGACAAAAAACAAAACAAAATGCCTGTCTCGATCAATCGCACATCCATAATGTTTGTATGTTGATATGCTTGAAAATAACATTAACGTAAAAGTCGAAACAACCTAGATTAGAAGTCAATTCACCAGTCCGGCCAGCTATGGCTCCCTAAGTTGCTTATATTTAATCAGATACTATTTTGTCATCATGCTTTGTTAACTTACCTGTTTATACCTCATGAGGGCGTTTTTTTATAGCAAGATGGCGCAAACGGAGGTCCTTCACAGGTTTATGGTTTCTCATATTTAAATCATCATAACTCTGAAGATAATCGTTTTTTGTTGTTGTTTTTTTCAAATTTATAATCAATATACATAACTTGATAAATACAAACACCAAAATAGGCTCTATTTAGTTCCCCTTTAAAACCCAGTGAATAATTAGCTCCTTTACAGAACATCCAATATGGAAGTCAGCCTCCGATTTCCATTGGTCAGACCCTTGAACCCTACTTGAATCTGCCCTCAGATTAATATAGAGAGAAACGTTACGTAGCGAATGAGTATTACCCAGCTCTGTGTACATGTGGAGGTGAATGTCGATTCGGACATAGTCCCTCTGTGATTCGATCACTCGGAAAAC